CCTGTGGTTCCATTATTTGTATCATTTGTGGTGGGTGGAAAGCTACCACCAGGTCCTCCTGTGGTTCCATTATTTGTATCATTTGCGGTCGACGGAAGGCCACCACCAGATCCCCCTGTGGTTCCATTGTTTCCATTGCAACTTTTACTATGAAAAGCAATGTCGGATTCGCGGACTGTGCTGTCGTTACCACTTTCTCCACTGTTTCTATTGTTAACGCGAGGTGGAGAACTACCACCAAGTCCCGCCATTATTGCATTATTTTTATTGCTACTGCTACCTTTAGACTCAATGTCAAATACATCGATTATTCTGTCATTATCCCGTGTTCCATTATTTGTATCATTTGTGGTCGGTGGAACGCTACCACCGGGTCCTCCTGTGGTTCCATTATTTGTATCATTTGTGGTCGGTGGAAAGCTACCACCGGGTCCTCCTGTGGTTCCATTATTTGTGTCATTTGTGGTCGGTGGAAAGCTACCACCAGGTCCTCCTGTTGTTCCATTATTTGTATCATTTACGGTCGGTGGAAAGCTTCCACCAGGTCCTCCTGTGGTTCCATTATTTGTGTCATTAGCGGTCGACGGAAGGCCACCACCAGATCCCCCTGTGGTTCCATTATTTGTATCATTTGCGGTCGACGGAAGGCTACCACCTGATCCTCCTGCGGTTGCATTATTTCCATTATTTGTATCATTTGTGGTCGGTGGAAAGCTACCACCAGGTCCTCCTGTGGTTCCATTGTTTCCGTTATTTGTATCATTTGTGGTCGGTGGAAAGCTACCACCGGGTCCTCCTGTGGTTCCATTATTTGTATCATTTGTATTCGGTGGAAAGCTACCACCAGGTCCTCCTGTGGTTCCATTGTTTCCATTATTTGTGTCATTTGTAGTCGGCGGAAAGCTACCACCAGGTCCTCCTGTGGTTCCATTATTTCCATTATTTGTACCATTTCCGGCCGACGAATTGCTATCACCAGATCCTCCTATGGTTCCATTGTTTCCATTATTTGTACCATTTCCGGCCGACGGAATGCTACCACTAGATCCTCCTGTGGTTCCGTTGTCTCCATTGCAACTTTTACTATGAAAAGCAATGTCGGATTCACTGACTGTGGTGTTGTTACCTCCTTTTCCACTGTTTCTGTTGTTTACGCTAGCACCAAGTCCCGCTTTTATTACATTATTTCTATTGTTACTGCTACTTTTAGAATCAATGTCAAATCCGTCGATTATGCTTCCTTCTGTAAATATAAAATCTGTTTTGTTTTTGTACAATGTGATTTTGATTATATATAAGTTATTTATCTTTTAAATATTGACAATGTATAATTGTGTAAAGAAAATTAAAATCTATATGTTAATAATAAACCTTACTGCTTAGTGCTGCTTGCTGTGCCAAACAAAAAAGGACAGCTATTACTGCAATTCCTGCAAGAAAAGAATAATATAGAGCAGGTTTTCAATAAAATAGAAAAAGTTTTTTTGAAATTGTACTTACTTGCTTCCATGGTACCAGTGATGTACAAATTGGCTCTACAGGTTTAAATATAAGTCAAAATGATTCGTATCTTCTTATCATCTTATTGATAAAATTTTAACAATAGTCACTTGGGATGTGTTTTTAAGACTCGTGCAGCATTATCGGCCCTCAATCATCTTAAACAATACTTACTTTATCGAATGTAATTTTTGTAATAGTCCATCGAACCCTTTTATTACATTGCAAGACCATGTGTACGTAATTTATGCTGAAAATTTGTCATTGAAGATTTTGTTTTGTCGATTGAGTAGTGAAAGTTTGGCGGTATATGTACTGCATCTTTCGTTAAAGTATAGAGATATTGTTTCGGTGCTTTTACGTTTAATTTATTTTGCGTTTTCAGGGTGAATCAGGTGATTTTATTGTGCTGCCTAAATAATCTGAAAGCGATATGCCATTTGCAATTATTCTTTAACTATTTAGCCGGAGATATTTATTTCTTTAGACAGTAAATAAAATGGAAACGGTATTGACAAAGCAATATTATATGAAAATAAATAAAAGTAACACAAAAGTACTGGTATGCAAGGGAAGAACAATTATGAAAAGAATGAATATAAACATAGGAAACGAAAAATTAGGAAGAGTGTTTGTCTGGAACGCGGCACTGTACGGGTGCGAAGCATAGACGGTGGGCGCGGCGCTGTACGGGTGGAAAACATAAACGTTGGGCGCGGCGGAAAATTATAACAAGAGTTAAGAGGAATAGAGGTAAACCTAGATTGGGTTGCTGTTCACAAACAGTTAAGGATGCAGGATGTTGTAGTTTTAGGAAAATGCGAAGATTGACTCAGGACAGGAAAGTGTAAAGCTACACGTGTCCAACCAGTCTTAGAACTAACAACCTTATGATGACGATAGCGTATCTGCGGATTGCTCGTTCTGTTGGATTGTTTCCTTCAAATAGACTTCTCTCTTTTTCCCAATAGTGAATGTCTCCGTTCAAAAACATGTTTCTTTTATTTCCTAGCTCATGTGCTTTAGCTCCACCCTACGGGATGACAGGCACATTTTCATATTCGAATGCGTGATGAGAAACAGCTTTGTGTTCCCGTTCTCACTAATCTTTATTTTGATAACGTACCCATTTCTAAAGGTTATTCATTCCCGGCAACCTGTCATTTTGCAAGATCTAAATGTGGATGTAAAAAGAGAAAGCATTGCCTTGTAGAATATTCCATTTAGAAAGCTGGTGTGGGGATGAAGGCAAAACAAAGTACGCATCAGGAGTTAGAAAAATGTTCTTGTTCTATCTCAATAATGCCAGTCGTTTATACATACAGCAAAAATATTTTTCCTTGGCATTAATAATAACAAACTGTAACGATTCGAATAATTTGTTATTATTTTGTCCTGTTAGATAGTACCTGTCCTAAAATCACTTATGAATATCTACAACTGATGTCGATTTCATTATTGTCAACCTCTTAAATTTTACACCACCACCCTCCACTATTATTTAACAATAATCCGTCATGTCACGAAACAATTGTTGTGTTTTAGGTACCTACATGAAAGGATTATTGAAAGTATTGCATTTTTATTACTGTTGTATACTTCGTTTAGTTTCTCTAGCGATGTGACCTTTAGTTTGACCGGCGCAATGTAGAAAAGAACAGCACTAGGCCACAAAAGAAAGAAGACAACAGTCGGTCAAACACTTAACCGGTGAGAAGCGTATGATCCGTATAGTAGTACTGCACGGAAAAATTGACCATTTTATCCACTAAATTGCATTACTCAAATGTGCTGTTATTGGTACCAATTACTACTGAAAATATCAGCAAAATGTTTATTTATATTTGAAGACATATTAACGTCTTTAACGCTTGTTTTCCACTCGCACTAAACTTCGTTTACTTTCCCTAGCGACGTGCCCCTTCCAATGTATTGGATGCGCGCTGGCAAAATCGTAGGTAGGGAGAAAAAAGCTCATTATACTCTCGATTCTTGTTCATTAAACATACTTTTTCATACAGTACCTGCCAAAAGTTTTGTTCAATCATGAATAGTAGTGCGAGTCGAAAACAAGCGTTAAAGCCTTTAATATGTCTTCAAATATAAATAAACATCTCGTTGATA